AGTTGAAAAATCAGTACTGTACTGATAAAATCAGTACGTCTGGCAACCGTACTTCCGCAGCATCTATGGTAAGGCACTCCGCGTCGTTCTGCATGTTTACCTATAAGGCAGTGACCCATTAGAGCAGGCTTTCCCAAAGTGGGTGCCGCTAGTGCCTAGAGTATACTAGTGGTGCGGGCCAATTCTTTAAACTTTCCATTCACAACGCAAGCGGATGAGTCAAACTTCAACATGGTGGCCAGAAAAACAAAAAATTTTGATTTTTATTAATATTGCCTTCAGCGGCTCGTCAAACCCCATACACAACACAAATGGCTTGCAGCAAAAGTATATTTCGATTGGTCTGTCAAGCCGCTTGTGTGGTGTATTTCGCTCTTACGCGTAGTTCCCCAGTAGGTTTTGTCAACTAAAAACTGAATCAAAAAATTTTCAGAAAAATAGCCGAAAACGTACCCTTCTCACAACCATTTTCGGTACTTTTATAGACCTAATCCGCGTTTCATCCACCTATCTTCCCGTTTTCGGATTAATTTTCGGATTTTTTGCTGGCTTGGCTGCTCTCATGACGAGCGCAGCAGCTTCACGCACGTGTATTTGTTACTTATTCTTTGGAACTTCAAAATCACACTGTGAAAAAGCGAATCGACACGATTTTAGAGGCAGTCGAGAACGAACTTATAAAAAGTTTGAAAACTTGTGAATTTTTTAGCTTGCAACTTGATGAACTAGTAGGACTTGATGTTGTTCTCGTGTTGGTGAGGTGCCCATTCGCAATGCAAATCGAAGAAGAACTTTTGATGAGCGAAGTACTTAAGACTTACACCACTAGCGACGAAATTTTTAAAGCTATCGACAAATTTGTACAGAAAAATGGTTTGAAATGGAGCAAGTGTGCGGATATTTGCATTGGTTGGAAAAACGAAAGGAGCAATGTCTAGGATGAAGCAAGAGGCAGAAAACGCCACGAGAAGTCACTGTATGACCCGTCGGTATTCCCTGGCGACTAGGAAGATGCCGTCACTAGATTTAAAACCCGTATTGGATGACACTGCGATGATAACAGAGGCCTGCGAAATTAAAATACATCTTTGGTTTTTTTCTAGCACGTCGAGATTTTTTATTGGTGACATGTATATTTTAGAATTTCTAGCAATTTGCATGAAAACCGCATAAGTAAACAAAGTAAATCAGAAAAACGTATGTAACTTCGAAGTTAACGCCAAGAAAATTGCTAACAGTCGGTTTCACCAGCAATTCAAATGGAAAATGATCTTTTATTTTCTGTCAATTTCCATATAATATTCAAAAAATTAAAATCATTTTTCACATAAATTGCTTTTGTGAAATTGGCTGTAAAAGTTATTTTCTTAGCGTTAACGCGCATTACCAGCGTTAACTTGGAAGGTTTAGAAAAAAAATTTGTCGAATATTTTCCCAACATTGACTCTGTGAATGTCTACAGCTGGATAACAAACCCGTTTTCATGTGACCCGAAAAGTAATCCTACTGAGATGACAAATTAAGCTATTGAAAACCTTCTGGACATAAGTGAAGACAGCACTTTGAATATTAAATTTGAATACGAAGGGAGCTGAGAGAGTTCTGGATGCAAGTCTATGCAGAAAACACTGCTGCTGGCAAGATTGCATTAAAAATACTAGTGACTTTTACTTTCACATTTCTATGTGAGACTGCATTTTCATCAAATGCTTACATAAACAAGTAATTTTTAAGCAAAAAACAAAACCGACTTCAATGCTCATATAAAATATTAAGGTTATCGTTAATCTCTTCATGATTCAATGATCGGATTTAAACCAAGTTAGAATGGGACCACCTGTGAGCTAACCCCTTTCCTATAAAAAAAAGAACTATAGTAATCGCTTAACGTGGTCCAAAGTTATGCGGGAACATATGTACATAAAGATAAAAATAATAATAAAAAAATATTCCGACTAATAGATAACCTTCTCCTGTTTGTGAAGTCGGTTAAAAACAAATAAATCAGCAAGCTTTCAGCGTCAAATGATTTCAAAGCCCTCAATAAACTTAAAGGAAATAACAAAACCATCAAAACAATTTCAGTCTAGTAATGTAAATTTTCAATACTTTCAAGTATCGATCGATACTCGATACTTTGGAAACAAGTACACAGTATTCGATACTTTTACATTAATAATAATAGATTGGCGCTTACACATATGTTAGTGTTTTGCCGGGCTTCTCCTCCGATTTGTGGCGTCCGCCTTTATGTTGTCACACAAAGCGGAGGGACCTACAGTTTTACGCCGACTCCGAACGGCGATTGTATTTTTATGAGAAGCAGTTTTTTTCATGGCAGAAATACACTCGGAGGTTTGCCATTGCCTGCCGAGGGACGACCGCTGCTAAGAAAAAACCTTTTTTCTATATTTTTTTGCGATGTTGCTTTGACCAGGGTTTGAACCCAGGCGTTGCGGAGTGGAAGCGCGCACTGCTTACCACTACACCACAGCGGCCGACATACTTTTACATTATTCCGTTAAAAATTCCTTACACCAAAACCGATAAAAATCGTATGACTTGTATCCTTATGTTCTTACGCATAGTGACTCTTTTTTGGTAAAAATGTTTTCACTCGAAAACATTGCATAGAAACTACTGAACTGCTGTTGAAGCTTATTGTTACACTTATACTTATCATAAATAATTTTTAACTATTTCAGCTATTTGGGGATATACATATTTTTCCTATTCTTACCACCACGCGAGCGGATCTCGATGTCCCTCTAATAAATATTCTTGAATATATTGATTACCCTCGACTATAGCAGACGCTAAAAAACTTTTGTGAGCTTTCTTAGATTTTTTATCAAAATCACTCCAAAGAGAATTGCCGTTTTTTTGATCCACATTGTGTTCCGGTAAATTATCTTTTTGAAACCTGATTATACACTGCTCTCCTAAACCATTCTCCATTTAACCATTGTAAATTTTGCAACCCGTTACTTTGCTTTGGCGACGCTTGTTATGAAAATATATTTCAACGATGATGTTTGAGTAACGAAGTATCGACATAATTTTTTCAATACCCATCGAATACTCAAATTGCTCAACAGTATCAAATACATACTATTCGATACTCGATACTTTTCCCATCACTATTTCAGTCCTCACATTACCGCTAAAGGAGCATAAAGTTTGCATTGTGTTTTCTAGTTTTCGTAGACATTTGAAGAGTAGGGGTGCCGCGAAATTGTTTTAGCACAACAACCCTGCATTAGAGCACCGATTGTGTGAGATATATCATCCCTTTTTAGAGAGTAAAAGCTTCGAGACCTTTTTCGATCCCACCTAGGCCAAGTTTGATTAGAAATTCGACAGGTCGTAGTTTGCACCCATATTTCGCTCGCGCGAGCATAGATAAATTCACTTAAAAGCAACTTGTGAGTGGCGAAGGGCATACCAATGCGGTCTTTACCCGGAAGAATCTGCTTGATCGTTACCCCCTCGCAAATTCGTCCGCCATACAGTTACCCTGAATGTACCCATGACCGGAAACCCAAATGAGGTTTGGACTGTTCTGCTTAGCCACCTCTTGCAGAGATCGGCGGCAGTCCAGCACAATTTTTGATTTAATTGTGACGGAGCTCACAGCTTTAATTTGCTGCCTGGCTGTCACTAAAGATGAACACCTCCTCACCTTTTAAATCAGTACGAAGTTCGTTTACAGCGTCCATCATATCTGAGACCTCAGCCTGGAAGACACTACAGTAGTGCGGTAGTCGAAATGAACGGCTCAGGGCGGGCTTCGGGAAAAGAGCCCTCCTCCCACTCCGCCGCTCATTTTTGAACCGTCTGTGAAAATACTACCGGGTGGAGTATAGTAGTTTTCTTCCCATTCCTCCCTGCTTGGGATATTCATGACGACGTTTCTATCCGGAACCAGAGTTTCAACACAACGGACTATACAGCCCGGAAGAAAGCTATATTTTTTCAGAATGCAGGAGTTACCCAGCAATCCCGATTCCCATTGCCCTGTCTTCCTTAACCGAAGTGCAGCAAGAGATGCCATCTGCTGGCCCACTAGATCTAGTGGCAGAAGATCTAAAAATAGGTTTAAAGCATCATTTTGCGTTGTCCGAATTGCTCCGCTAATGTAAATCATACTAATCCTCTGTAATTAGCTGAGTAGAAAAATGTCGCATAACAGTGTTTTTTGTTGACGATTAGATTTTATTTTCAGTGGAAAATTCAGGTCCGACTATCTAATAAAAATTATTTAAAATCAATTATAGGGTTTTCTTCCGGCAAAATGAGCATTTCGTATGCGTTTATACTAATTCCATTTCTTCAAGCGGTTTAACACAATCGAGCATAACCTAAGGATCATGAATATAACTTCACATGACAGTTGAAATATTGAAAAAAAACGACGTATCGTTCCATATTTAATGAATATCCGATATTAAGTTCACAAAATTTTCTGCAATTATTATCCTTTTGGTTGGTGTTTCCAACAGGATAGAAGGATGATGTATTGTGGATTTGTGTCCAAACCAAATGTGACGGGAAATCGTTCCACAATACATCTCTACAAAACTTTAAGAATCAATAACATCCAATTCCCAGCGAAAGTCGGCCCAATCCCCGTTTCTTCACCCAGAGTTGGCGACCTTATTGTCGCTACCATTTCAAACTATCGAATGTGAAAGTGGATACTTTTCAGGAGAGCAAAAAAAACTGTTGTAAAAAATGTTGTTGTCATTAAGAAAAAAAGTGGGATTCGACACTTTGTTAAAGCCAGTATCTCTGCTTATAAGAAGACTAGAAATGCGACGATTTGCCAAATTACATATGATCCTAAACGCGTGCGCAACGTATCGAAAATGAAAAAAAAAATCATTCGATAGGTGGACATGGTAGCGACGATATGTACAAACATGCTTATATATGTATATGTACTTTCATACACGTTTGTGAAAAACTTAACGAACAATAAATTTTGCCACGATTCTTAGATTGACTGCGCCATATATGTTTGTGCTTGGAGTCGTACAGGTTACTATGAAGTATCTGGCCACATATTCGATATTTGATCCTCCGACCATGGATCATGAGACGTGCCCAAAATATTGGTGGCGCAACTTACTGTATATCAACACACTGTTCCCAGTAGATCAAATGGTAATTAGGCACTTACAATTTTTCGGCTATATCGTCATATACCAGTATTTACTAATTTTAATTATGTACATCTTTTAGTGTATGCTATGGAGTTGGTACTTGGCCAACGATACACAGTTCTACATTATTGGCGCCATCATACTGATCATCGGAGTAAGGCACTTTAAACTGTCTGCATGTACCACTTTAGTTTTCTTGGTGTCGTCTTGGATTACAACAGCTATCATAGCTTTTACTAACAACCATCGACCCGACACTGACGACCCTCTGGCGTTATTTGATAAAATATATGATAAACCGTGGACGCGTCTGGGCCCTTATCTTATCGGGATGGCAGTTGGCTGGATATTGTTTCGCACCAACTGTAAAATTCGTTTTCCACGTCTTACGGTGGCCACTCTCTGGACGTTGGCCATGCTCAATCTCTTTGTTCTGGTATTCGGACTGTATCGCGCTGATTTATCACAATTATTGGCGGCTGCGTATAGCTCGCTTAGCCACTCAGCTTGGGCATTATCGTTGGCTTGGATCACAATTGCATGCTCTACAGGATATGGTGGCTACATTAATTCCTTACTCTCAGCCCCTTTTCTGTATCCGTTCTCCCGTGTCACCTACTGCGCATATCTGGTACATCCGATCGTCATTCGATCTATGGCGCTAAACACTGACGCCCCACTACACTTGGGCGGTGATACTATGGTGAGTTGGCTGTCTTTTGACTCTTTAACTAAATTAAATAAACATTTTATTCAGGTTATATTATTTTTTGGACTTGTGGTAGCATCGTATTTGCTGTCGTTTGTTGTATCGATGTCCTTCGAAGCGCCTGTTGTCACAATGCTGAAGATCCTGTCTCCTAGTCGAAAAAAGCGTATCGCTTAGTAAACTTATGTTTGCAAGTACATTATATATTAGGGTGGTCCAAAATAAGTAAAGTCGGTATTTTAATGCTCTCTCCCCCTAGAATTGTTCTATATCGAAAAAATACACCCATATTTATTTATTTTGAAATAAAAAAAGGTCGCTCAAAGCGCTCAAAAATTTCCATGTATTTTATATGAGGAAAAAGAACTTTTCGTAGAAATGGTATAGAATTCTTGAAAATCAATATTTTTCGATCGGAAAACTCTGGTTCTCTCCAAGAGACTTCCAGTAACAATACCCAATTGTTTACTTAACCATTTATTAATCCTAAAGATTTTTTTATTTATCCCCCCATTGCATCTGGGGTTTTTGACAAACCTATAAAATATCGTGACTAAGAAAAAATTTTTAAATAATTGGGTATTATTATAGGGAATCTCCTGAAGAGAAATAGAGTTTTCCGATAAAAAAATATTTAATTTCCAGAATTCGATACCATTTCTACGAAAAGTTGTTTTTTCCCATATAAAATACATGGAAAACTTTGAGCTCTTTGAGCGGCCACAAAATATTTATTGATTTCAAAATAAATAATAGAGGCATATTTTTTTCGGTATAGAACAATCATAGATGGTGAGAGCATAAAAATTCCGACTTTACTTTTTCACATACATTTTTGGGCCACCCTAATGTACATACATAAGTATTTGCCTAATGACTTGGTTCGTTTCTAGTTACATACTTGTTAGTAATGTTTCTTAAAAATGAAAACAATGTACATAAGTACATATGTACATACATTCTTATCTTTAAATAAGCTTTATTTTTTAATTTTTCCTTATGTACACGAATACGTCCGACCAAGCATGTAGGGTATTACATAAGAACTAGACAGGTAAAATATCCAGTATCCAGTATCCAGATACAGACTGCTTTTACAAAATAAAGTTTGGTTAACGAGTTAAAGGACTTCACATTCTTTTCTTAATCGGCAGGTTTCATCTACATATTTCAAACCTAAATACCAAATAAGCAAAATAACAATAAAATTATTAAACCTGTTATTTTGATAATTTAAATAAAAGCCAAGTGTCTTTTTGACTTACGGCTCTATTCTGTATAACTGACAAATTCTTGTCACAGTTTTTATTACGGAAAAATATATGAAAAATTTTAGATTTGTCAATAAAAAAATGTTTATCACCGATACAGATTTGGGTTATTAGTGTAGTGTAGCTTGACTTTTTAGAGTTCGTAGCGGAAAATACAAAACTTATAAACTTTAAAGGGCAACGTCTCAGGTACAAAAAAGGTATCAGAATTGATTAACAAAAATATTGAAGAGTTGACCCCTGTGCGACACGTCTTAACCGTCTCCAATCGGGACCAAAATTTATATGCGATATCTTCGACTATGTTAGTATCGAATTTGGGTATTAGACGAAAAAAACTAATTTAAATTTTTTGAGGCTATAGATGCATCTATACATTTCCCCCTCTGCGACAGGCCTTAACCGTCTCCAATCGGGACCAAAATTTATATGTGTTATGTGTGACCGTTGTATTGCCGATTGAAAAAAATCGTTCGTTTGATTTTTTTAAGGACCACCCTAATACGTATGTATGTATAAGTATGTCGTCCCATTTCTGCGTTAACCTCGTACTTCCAATAAATTGAGTCTAGATATCGTAAGACAAAATTGTTTTTTTCTTCCACTGGGGTACAATAATATTTTTTTGATTCAACGAATACTAGAGAGTATTCACTTAAAGTTTTGAGAAAATGATACCTAAGCTGCTGTTGTAGATGATTATATTAGTTTTCGCAAAAAATTTATATACGTTTTTTTTCAAATAAAATTTTAAATGTTTTCAAATAAAATGTTTAAAATGCACTTCTTTGTTCATATTATTGTAACTTTATATAACTAATATCAGGGGCGGCGAAACGCCCTGTGCCCGGGTGGGTAGTTTTGCTGGTGGCAAGAGTATACAGGTAAAAAAAAAATTGGTTACCGATATAATTGAGAATCGTTCATGAATTCAATATCCATCTACACGGCTACATGGATTATTGCTACACGGTTGAGCCGTTTTTTGTGCATTGTCGAGCACAAATAATTTTTCACCTTAGGCAAAACAGAAAAGCTAATAAGTAATCAGAAAGCAGAATAGTAACAAGTAATCTAATGAAGCGTACCAATTCAGGAACAAGTCCCATACACAATTTTAAGCAAAAATTGCATAACATCTTTCACGGATTTTGCTCTGTACGCCTCATTATGCACAGAGCCACCCATATCTTTATCGCTATTGAGTTTGCATTCGTCAAAATCACCATAATAAAATGTGACATTTTCTTCAAATCTACTGTCTGACAAAGAATGAACTTTTCTAAAGTTTTATGAAACGTTGCCGATTCATTATCAAATCTACTTGTCAGGGAGAAAATAACTTAGTCAAAAATTGCATAATATATCTTCTGAAAATACTCTTCAGGTGTGGTTAAAACAAGATTTTCAATTTGACTTATTTTTCTTCTTAAAAATTTCAGGTGGGTACTACTACCCACCATACCCACTTCTTCCGCCGCCCCTGATTGGGATTCTAAGTAGGTTATACGTGCCGATTAGTCAACTTTAACTCGTTAACTAGGTTTATCTGTGCCGAAGGCATAGTAGATGCATGTGAATACACATTTATTTATATGAGAAATCTCAAGAGTTATTATTTTTGATGTGACTCCCTTCTCTCGCCCGTAATAAACGCTAAATCATTCCCCTTGCATTTATTTCAATTAATGGAGTTCCAAAAACAACTACAGAAAAAATTAAATCAAGCATTTGACCATTTTAAGGTATCCACACACCTATGCGATTCTGTCGGTGCGAATCTGTTCCGACAAAAATTACAACAATGCCGACCATAGTTTTAAATGAGGAACCACACACTTATACGACTTTGCTGCAGCGATTTATTCGAACATGTACAGTTCTTCTTTTCGTCGTGCCGAAATCGCAGACTGCCGCGTTTTGAGAACGAAAAAGGTCAATAGAAGGATTTTACAATATTAAAACAAAATTTTACTTAAAAAATAATAATTGATGTAGAAAAATTAAGAATTTTATTTTTGTTGAAAAATATTTTTTGTTTGTCTATGAATTGACAGTTTTTACTGCAATAAAATCGCACAGATGTGTGCGTTCTTGCGTTTTCGACGCAGTAACGTCTGTAGCATCAAAAACGATGCGGATTCGTTGCGACAGAATCGCGTAGGTGTGTGGATACATTTAGCCTTAAAACGTTTATATAGGCGAAAAAGTACCGCAATTACAAATCTTTTCAATATCACTCGAAAAAAATTTTATTTGTTTTTTTAAATTACTTTAATTCAAATAAAGTGTTTTTATTAAAGCCAGAATATCGAGCCCTAACCGCCAAAATAACGTAAGCGACATTTTTTTCAAAATTTTCTTTTTGATGCAGAAATATTCCTCGATTATCTAGATACATTTCTGCATCAAAAATAAAATTTTGAAATAAATGTCGATTACGTTATTTTGGCAGTTAGGGCTCGATATCTGTGGCAGCTATTTTATAATTTTTTATCTTTAAGGGCCGATTTTATAATAAAATGAAAGAATATTTTAAAATTTGAAGGATGCTTTATTTTGCTGATCGATTTCATAAAGCCACTTTAAAGATAAAGGTGCCAATAAAGGCTCTTTAGTTAAATACCCAAAATGGAAATTTAAATGACATAAAGATCAGTGTTGTAAGAAAACAAAAGTATGTCATTGTCGTAGTATAATTTCATATTTATCACAATCAGTTAATTCAATTTTACTGAGATCAGCATTACCAACTTTGTTATTTCCAATTAAATGAACATTTTGTAATAATTAAATTACCATCGCATTATGAACTAAAATACATTTAAATGACACTTTAACCAAAAGGAAGGTTTTCCAAAAAAGAACTAAAAGTGTTTCATTATGAAATTGGCACTAACTAATGTTTCATTTTAAAAGTTGAAGATAGTTCAAAATGTTAACATTAAACGGTGAAAATGATCTTCAGGGACGTGAACCGGTTTTGAACCGAACCGGTTTTGAACCGGAAAACCGCTTTTTTCTATTAATTAACTGAACCATTAACCGAACCGAAATTTTCCACAAATGTTTGATCCGAACCGAAAACCGAACCACTTTCCATAAAGGTTTAAAGGTTCGTTTCAACCAAGTTTTAATAGATAAATGTACCAACTTTTTTCCTTTTTGTTAAACATGGTAATACCTACCCTGTGACAGAAAGACAGACGAAATACGTTTGTGATAAAATTTTGGGAAACGGGAGTGCCACCGCCCACTTATGATCACGTATCTCGTATGTATCTCGGTAACCGGTCTACCAATTTATACCAAACTCGGTATGGCTATTGTGCTTGCCAAATAAAAGCAAAACGTTCAAAATTATTGAAATCAGATTCTTGCCAAAACGAAGAAATCTAGAGTAATAAAACTAGCGGGCCACCAAATAAAAAAAAATACATTGATTATTCCGATTTTACAATTTATATTGGCCCACTCGAAATTCATTCTAAAGCTGTGATATGCATGAAGAACTTTATATGCATACATATGTATTATGCGTAAATAATACTGTAGTAATTAATTCCACGCGAATATTTAATTACTTTTAAATAAATAATACGACTTTTTAGTTAAGGCGTGGCAGTAGACGTGTTGGCTGACTGTCTATGGCTATGCTACGGGGCATATACGTTACATAACTACAGTATATTTTTTTTAAGATTTGATTTAAATTCAATTTCACGATAGAATCTTATTCTTTATGCAAAACTAAAGATAATGTACATGGTTTAAGATAAGTGTGCCACCATTTTGGACAAAAAAACACGTTTTTACCGAAAAAATGTAACAACTCTTGAGATTTACTCATATACATAGATATAATATATCTAAATAACTGCTTCACGTGTAAGGGCACATCTGTATGCACGCATAATGTGGACTCAATAATGAAATATATTTATTACCCATTACGAAAATTAATAAAGTTTATATAGTTCATTTAAACCATTATTATAAGCTCAC